GGGGGGGAGGGCGATGGGAGGGACTGAGAAACCCCCCAGGTGCGATGGGGAAGGGCAGGAAGAACTCCTGGGAAGGGGGATGGAGGGGCTGGGCTGAGCTGGGGGGCACTGGGATGGGAGTTGGACCCTCCCCGACCCCGTGTCCCCCCTGTTCCCAGGGAACTACCGGACACAGCTGTGGGACAAACAGTCCGAGTCGTTCCTGCCCTCCACTCCCGGGCTGGGCATGCACGTGGAGGTCAAGGACCCCGATGGAAAGGTGGGCACCTCCAGGACAGGGCAGTGGCCCTGTCTTGGTGCCCTGGAGTGGGTGACAGTGGCCCTGTCCCAGTGTCCCAGGGTGTGACAGTGGCCCTTTCCCAGTCCTGGGGGTGTGACACCCCCTCCATGTCCCCCGGTGGTGCTGTCCCTGTGGTGTCACAGTGTCCCTGTGGGTCCCTGGGCTGTGTGTGACACTGTCCCTGTCCCAGGTGGTGCTGTCCCGCCAGTACGGCTCCGAGGGTCGCTTCACCTTCACATCCCACACGCCGGGGGAGCACCAGATCTGCCTGCACTCCAACTCCACCCGCATGGCCCTGTTCGCTGGGGGCAAACTGGTACTGCTGGGGCGAACTGGGAACACTGGGGAGGGGTCCCCAACCCTAGGGGGAGTCTCTGCCACCCTGTGCCACCCCTTGAGCCCCCCCGACCCCTTCTGTGCCTGCAGCGGGTACACCTGGACATCCAGGTGGGTGAACACACCAACAACTACCCCGAGATCGCAGCCAAGGACAAGCTGACGGAGCTGCAGCTCCGGGCACGGCAGCTCCTGGACCAGGTGGAGCAGATCCAGAAGGAGCAGAACTACCAGAGGGTGAGCAGGGGGTCTGCAGGGTCGGTTTGGGGGGATCACCGAGTTTCCCTCCCTCTCTGACCCCCTTTCCCCATTTTTGGGGCAGTACCGGGAGGAGCGGTTCCGCATGACGAGCGAGAGCACCAACCAGAGGGTGCTCTGGTGGTCCATCGCCCAGACCATCATCCTCATCCTCACCGGCATCTGGCAGATGAGGCACCTCAAGAGCTTCTTTGAGGCCAAGAAGTTGGTGTAGCCACCCCAAACCCCTGAGGGGCTCCCCCAAATCACCCAACACGCCCCAAAGGGGGGATCCAACCTGCCCTGGGGGACTCCCACAGACCTGGGGAGGGACCTTTGCTGCCTGCTGGGACCCTGGGGATGGTGGGCAGGTTTGGGGGGGCCCTGCCTGCCATCTGGGAGGGGGGAACCCGCCCCCTACTTGGGGGAAAATAAAGATTTTATTGGGGAAAATAAAAGGGTTTTTTGTTTCAATGGGGCTCCCTGGTGCTTTTTTGGACTGGGGAGGGAATCTGGTGCTACAGGAAGCCAGGGTGGGGGTTCAGCCATCCAGCTACCTTTCTACAGTGCGTTTTCCCCCTCCCGGGGAATGAATCCCCCCAAAAAAGACCCCTGGGACGGGGGGGGGGGCGAGGTCTCAGGGGCTCCTCCAGCCCCGAGCATTCCTCCACCGCCAGGGGGCGCTGCGGCTCCTGCCTCCTCGGCGGCGCTCTGCGCACACAACCGGAAGTGTCTGTGGGCGGGGCGGCCAAGATGGCGGCGGACATGGCGGCGTCAGGCTTCGAGCACATGGGGCTGGACCCGCGACTGCTGAGGGTGGGGGGGCCGGGGGGCGGGGGGGGGGAAACGGGGGCCTTCGGGACACGGGGAGGGGGCTCAGCCCCACGGGAGGGGTGCACGGGGAGCGAGGGGAGGCCTTGAGGGGACTGAGAGGGTTTTGGAGTCCCTGGGGATCCCCACCATGGGGAGAGGGTGTCTTGGGGGGGCACTGGGGACCCCGGTTTGGGGGGGATGTCTGTAGGACAGAGTGGGACAGCGAGGATCCCCGTTTTGAGGGGGGGGGGGTCGGGGGGCCTGGGGGGGCACGGGGGACCCAGGGGGGGGGGGGGGGTCTGGGGGGGGGGGGTTCTGTGTCCCCCCCCATGGACAGGGGTTGTCCTGGTCCCTGTGGTGATCCCGGTGCCCCCCCAGGCGGTGGCAGAGCTGGGCTGGGCAACCCCCACGGCCATCCAGGCCCAGGCCATCCCCCTGGCATTGGAGGGCAGGGACCTGCTGGCACGGGCCAGGACGGGCTCCGGGAAAACAGGAGCCTACGGGCTGCCCCTGCTGCACAAACTGCTCAGCATCAAAGAGGTGAGGGCATGGGGGGCACGGGGGATGGGGGGGTATTGGGCATCCTGGCAGTGGGGTCATGGGGGCACCTTGGGGTGTTGGGTGGTGGGAGGCACCATGGGGCATCCAGGACAGGGTGGGCTCTGTGGGGCACAGGGGTGTCCTTGGGGTCCCTGTCCCCACCCGGTGTCAGTGCTGGTGCCCACAGGCTGTGTGGGCACTGGTGCCCTCGGGGGGTGCAGGGCCGGGCTCCATGGCACACGGGGGGATCCCTGTGTGTCCCAGTGACAGCCCCTGTCCCCCAGGCGTCCCCAGCGCTGCCCCAGGCCGTCCGTGCCCTGGTGCTGGTGCCCTCGGCGGAGCTGGGCCGGCAGGTCGGGCACACCCTGCGCCAGCTCTCAGCCTTCTGTGCCCGCCGGCTGCGTGTGGTGGACCTGTGCTCACAGAGCGACCCTGCTGCCCAGAGGTGAGGGACCCCTGTGCCCTGTGTGCCCCCTGGCCCTCCCTGTGCCCCCCGTGCTCACAGTGACCCTGCTGCCCAGAGGTGAGGGACCCCCTGTGTGCCTCCCTCTGCCCCCACGACCCTTCCTGTGCCCCCTGAGCCCCTCAGTCCTCCCTTACCCCGTGTGTGTGCCAGGCCTGTGCTGATGGAGCAGCCTGATGTCGTGGTGGGCACCCCAGGGCGGGTCCTGGCCCACCTGGGCGGGCACAGCCTGAGCCTGCGGCACTCGCTGGAGCTGCTGGTGCTGGATGAGGCCGATCTGCTGCTGTCCTTTGGGTTTGGGGACGACATCAAGGCCCTCCTCTGGTGAGGGGGCACGGGGGGGTGTTGGGGGCATGGACAGGACACATGGGTGTGGGGATGGGGGTACTGGGGCCAGTGCTGGGGGTGGAGGGCATGGAGGGCAGTGCCAGGGGTTTGGGGGCACTGAGGGTTTGGGGGGCACTGCTGGGGTGGAGGGCCACAGGGGGCACCGATGGGGGCATGGGGTGCAGGGGATGGGAGCATGGGGGGGCTCTGCTGGGGGCACTGCCAGGGCTGGGGGAAGCAGCAGGGCTGGAAGGGGTGGTAGGCACAGCCAGGGGGTTGGGAGACACTGTTGGAGGTGGAGGTTGTGGGAGGGGCACAGCCCAGGAGTTTGGGGGGCACTGAAAGTTATGGGGGCACTACCTTGGGTTTGGAGGGCACTGCTGAGTTTTGGGGGACTTTGTTAAAACAGGGAGACTTGGGGGCACAGTGAGTTTGGGTGGGTTTGCCAGGGCTGGGGGACACAGGGGAGCTCGAGGGGGGGCAGCAGAGCATCACCAGGCCTGGTGCCAGGGGGCCTGGGGGGCACTGAGCCCCCTGTTCCCCTCAGCCACCTGCCCAAGATCTACCAGGCCCTGCTGGTGTCAGCCACGTTCAACCCCGAGCTGGAGGCGCTGCAGGAGCTTGTGCTGCACAACCCTGTGAGGAATGAGGGGCTGGGATGGGGTTGGGGGGAGCTGAGAGGGGTTTGGGGCATCCGGGGGGAGGTTTGGGGGCTCTGAGGGAGGTTTGCAGGATCCAAGGAAGATCCAGAGCAGGCACAAAGATGGGCAAATGCCAGGATTTGGGAACACCGCCCCCCAGGAGCGGATTTAGGAGACACGAGGAGCCCAGAGGACTCTGTGGGTGCCACAACCCCCCCGTTTTTCCCTGTTTTCCCCCGTCCCAGGTGCTGGTGCTGCCCCCGGAGCCGCGGCTGCCGGGCCATTCCCAGCTGCAGCAGTTCCAGGTGCGCTGTGGGACGGAGGAGGACAAGTTCCTGGTGCTCGTGGCGCTGCTGCAGCTGCGGCTGCTGCGGGGCCGGGCCCTGCTCTTCGTGGGCAGCCTGGCCAGGGCCTTCCGCCTCAAGCTCTTCCTCGAGCAGTTCGGCATCCCCGCCTGCACCCTCAACTCCGAGCTGCCTGCGGCCTCCCGGTATGCCGGGGGCACTGGGGGGCCCTGGGGTGTCCCTGGGGTCACAGGGGTGTCCCTGAGGTGGTGACAGGGGTGTCCATGAAGGGTCTCAGTTTGGGATCCCCGCCTGCACCCTCAGCTCCGAGCTGCACATGCCATCCCCGTATTCCAGAGGGCGGGAAGGGGGCCTGGGTGGGGTGGGGTGTTCCTGGGATGGTGGGAAAGAGGGTGAAGGGGATAATGGGGTGCTCAGGGATGTCCATGAAGGAGATCAGTTTGGGATTCCCACTTGCTCCTGGTATTCCCAAGGGGATGGTGGGTGCCTGGATGGGGTGGGGTGTCCTTGAGGTGGGAAAGAGGGTAAAGAGGAGAACGGGGTGCTCAGGGGGTCCCTGAAGGGCTCGGAGAGTGATGAGGCACCCGGAGAACACCTTGGCATGCCCCCTGAGCCCCTGGGGGGTCTCCCCGGGGACAAAGGGGGTGTCCCAGGTGAGTTGTGGAGTGCCAGGGGAAGTGCTGGGGGGGATAAGGACACCGTGGGGGTCCCTGGGAGCTGGGTGGTCATGGGGGGTTCCTGGGGACAAGGGAGTGTCCCTCGGGTGCCAGGGGAAAATGCGGATTAAGGACACCCCGTGAGGAAGGACAGGGGTCCCTGGGAGTGTCCAGGGGGGCATCACACGAAGGGGGGTGGACACACTGAGGGTCTCCTCTGTCCCCAGGTGCCACGTCATCGCCCAGTTCAACCGCGGCCTCTACGACTTCATCGTGGCCACCGACGAGGAGGGGCCTGTGGAGACCCCCCAGCGCCAAGCACGGAAAGGAGGGACCCTGGGGTGAGCACGGGGGTTGGGGGATGTCACCAGGGACCCACTGGTGCCACCAGTATCACATGGGTGACACCAGTGTCCTGTAGGCATCACCAGGGACCTGGGTGGCCACCAGTGTCCTGTTCCTGTGCAAGTGTGTCCCCCTTGGGGGGCTCAGGGTGTCCCTGTGACCGTGACCTCACTGCACCCAGGGCGTCCTTGTGCCCACGGGATCCCCTTTCTCAGGCTCCCTGTCCCCATATCCCAGATGCCCACTTGCTCTGGGTGTCCCTCCTGAGCCCCCCCAACCCCTGGTGTCCCTGTGTCCCCCCAGGAAGGGGAAGGGGAAGGCCAAGGACAAGGGGAAGGCCAAGGCCCAGGACCCTGAGTATGGGGTTGCGCGGGGCATCGACTTCCAGAACGTCTCGGCCGTCATCAACTTCGACGTCCCCCCCACAGTCGAGTCCTACATCCACCGTGTGGGCAGGTCTGTGTGGGCACTGGGGGGACCCCAGGGGTGCCAGACTGGCTGTGGTCCCACCCTGTGTCCCCCTTGCACCCCCCAGGACAGCCCGTGGTGACAACCCTGGCACAGCACTGACCCTGGCGCTGCCCGAGGAGCACGAGGGGCTCACCCGCATTGAGGACGCGCTGGCAGGAGGTTTGGGGGTCCCTGTGCCACCTGGGAGGCTGGGGGACACTGGGGGACTGGGGTGATCCTCTGTGTCCCCCCAGAGAACGGGCAGTCCATGCTCCAGCCCTACAAGTTCTGCATGGAGGAGATCGAGTCGCTGCGCTACCGCTGCCGGGTACGGGAGGCACCGGCGGGGCTGGAGGGGACAGAGGGCTGCTGGTGGCACTGACGAGGTCCTGGCCACACCAGAAGGGTGTTGGTGGTACCAGGAGGGGTCCTGGTGACTCGGAGGGGGTGCCAGTGTGAGAGTGGCACCCTCTGACCCCACTGTGCCCCCCCCAAAGGATGCCATGCGCTCGGTGACCAAGCAGGCGGTGAAGGAGGCGCGGCTGCGCGAGATCAGGGACGAGCTGCTCAACTCCGAGAAGCTCAAGGTGACCCCGGGGGGCTCGAGGAGGGGGTTTAGGGGTCCCTGGGGGGGCACAGGGGGTCCCTGGGTGGTACCAACTTCCCCCCCTTGCTGTCCATGGCCAGGCCTATTTTGAAGACAACCCCCGGGACCTGCACGTGCTGCGCCACGACAAGCCCCTGCACCCGGCCATCGTGAAACCTCACCTGAGGAACGTGCCAGACTACCTGGGTACGGGGGAGCGGGCAAAAACGGGGCACAACAGGGGCATGGGGGGAGAAATGGGCAAAAATGGGGGGGATTGGGGGGAAAACAGGGCGGAGGGGGGTGATTTGGGGGGCAGGACTAACCCCCAGTGCCTCCCCAGTGCCCCCCAGCCTCCGGGGCATTGCCAGGCCTGGCCCCAGGAAGCGAAAGGGCCCCCGAGTGCTCCGAGGGCCCAGTGCCCACAAGGGGAAACCTGCTGTGAGTGACCCCCAAACCCTCTCCCTGAGACCCAAAATCCCCCCCACATCCTCTCCCTGAGACACCAAACGTCCCCAAACACCCCTAAATCCCCTGCACAGACCCCCAAATCCCCCTCACTCCCCAGAATTCCCCCTGAACCCCAAATTACCCCCTGGACCCCCAAATCCTCCCTGCAAAACCAAAACACCCCCAAATCACTCCCACTCCTCTAAATCCCTCCTGAGCCCCCAACCCCTCCAAAATCCCCCAAATACCCCTTGCTACCTGAAATCCCCTAAGATCTCCCCGCTGCACCCTCAACTGCCTCCCCACTCCCTCAACTCCCTCCCCTGGACCCCAAAATGCCCCCAAACACCCCTAAATATCCCCCCTGAGCTCTCTGCAGATCCCCACCCTGCTCTTCTTTTCCAGCCCCGTGGCACCGGGAACCCTCTGCAGAGCTTCAAGTTCTCCCGGCGTGGTGCCAAGGGCCGGGCTGTGCCCACCCCCTGACCCCCCCTGTGCCCCTCTGGGGGTCTGTGGGCTGTGCTGTGCCCCCCTGCATCCCCCCAGGGCCTGTGCTGTGCCCAATAAAGGTTCCGGGGGCTGGTTTTGGGGTGCTGTGTGTGTGGGCGTGGTGCCCGCCCTGCGTGACGTGACAGGGACAGGGCTGGGCTGGTGATGCAGGTGTGGGACCTGGGCAAAGGTACCAGAGCGGGACCACCCCCCTTATCACCGCCCAGGGCCATAAAGAGGGGGCAGGGACACCCTGGGGGGTGGCACCGATGGGTTCAGGGGCTCGGAGCCACTCAGGCACCCCAAGGGAACGCTGTGGTGGGATGGCACCGGGCTGGGGTGGCCCAGCCCTGCCCGTCAGTGCCCGCCCAGACACTTATTGTGACCCAGACACTTATCATGGCCCCAGACACTTTATCGTGGCCCCAGACACTTTATCAGGGTTCCAGGCACTTTATCAGGGTTCCAGGGCCTTATCGGGGTCCAAGGCTCTGGACCCTTTCCTGGCACTGGGCACAGGGCACTGGAGTGTGACATACCTGCCCACGGGGATGGCACTGGGATGGCACCCACCCAACCACTGGGATGGCACCTACCTCTTCCCCAGGATGGCATTGGGATGTCACCCACCCACCCCCCGGGATAGCACTGGGGTGTCACACACCTGTCCATGGGGATGGCACCAGGATGGCACCCACCTGTTGACCAGGATGGCACTGGGATGTCACCCACCCACCCCCCGGGATGGCATCGGAGTGTCACCCACCTGCCCCTGGGATGGCACCGGCACCAGCGTGTCCCTGGCCACAAGACTGGGGAGCACAGGGGGGTTTCCCTGCAGGACACACCTGTGGTAACCCCCTGGCACTGCCACAACACCCAGGGGTGACCCCACACTGTCCCTCCCTCCCCCCACTCCCGTGTGCCCCCGCAGTGCTCCCGAATCCCCCAATTTGTGCCCCAATGCCCCATTTCCATGCCCAGGTCCCCCGTTGTGCTGGTTCAGGTTTCCCAGGAAGCTGCTCCGGCCACGCCCCGGGATCAATCGATCGATCTTTGTTAATGATCCCCCGGGTTAATGATCCTCCATTTACAGCCCTGACCAGGGCTGATTGGCCTTGTGGCTATCAGACCAGCAGGGCCCTGCCAGGGCAGTGCCTGCCCGGGGGTGCCACCCATATAAAACAGGCTGGGCAGTGCCGGGGACACCCCTCTGCCACCATGGCGGGGTCCCTGGCGCTGCCCGGCGCCCTCCTGGCAGCACTGCTGGCACTGGTAGGAGCTGGGGTGGCACTGGGGGGACACGGGCACTCTGAGGGGGAGGGGTGGGGTGTGGGGTTTGGGGCTGGGGATGGCAGAGTAAAGGGATGCTGATGTGGCACCCGTTGGGTGACAGTTGGGAGGCTGGGCGTGGCAGAGTGGGGGGGGTGATGGTACAATGCCCATCAGGTGCCTGTTGGGTGCCCCTTGGGGGGCTGAGGGTGGCAGAGCCAGGGAACCCCATTCTGGTCCCCATTTGGTGACATTTAGATGGGCTGGGCGTGGCAGAGTAGGGGGACGCTGGCGTGGTGCCCATTGGGTGATGTTTGGAGGGTCTTGGGGTGGCAGAGCTGGGAGGACACTGGTGTGGCACCCACTGGGTGCCTGTTGGGTGACAGTGGTGGGGCTGAGGGTGGCAGAGCGGGGGGGAAACCATTGTGGTACCCTTTGGGTAGTGATTTGAGGGCCTAGCAGTGACAGACTGGGGGGGGACATCACTGCGATGCCCATCAGATGCCTGTTGGGTGCCCTTTGGGTGGTGTTTGTGGGGACTGAGGATGGCAGAGTCGGGGGGACACCTCTGCAGTGCCCACCAGATGCCTGTTGGGTACCATTTGGATGCTGACAGTGCCATCCCCCTCCCCAAACCCCTTCCCGCCTCCCCCTCCACCCCCCCAGGCCTCCCCATCCTTCACCCCGATCCACCGTGCCGGGTACTGCTCCTTCTACGGCGAGTGCGGGCGCAACCCCGAGGTGAACGTGTCGCTGGTGCCCTCCAACGTGCCCTGCCTGTCCAACACCCCTGCCCGGGAGGCCACGGGCACCCTGCTGGCCCTGCTGCGCTCCGTGTGCCCGGACTTGGTGCGGGAGGACAACGAGACCACCCTGGTGTGCTGCACCTACGGGCAGCTCAGCGCACTCCAGTTCAGTGTCGCGCTCTCGGGCACCGTCCTGGCGCGGTGCCCATCCTGCGCCCGCAACTTCGCCAGCCTGTACTGCCACAACACCTGCAGCCCTGACCAGAGCCTCTTCACCAACGTGACGCGGGTGGTGAACCGCACGTTGGTGCCCGGGGTGCCCAGCGTGGCGGTGGTGGAGTATCAGAGCTTCTACCGGCAGCGCTTCGCCGATGCCGCCTTCTCCTCGTGCCACGGGGTGCGGCTCCCGTCCACCGGCGGCTTCGCCATCGCCACCATGTGCGGGCGCTACGGTGCCCAGCACTGCACCCCCCAGCGCTGGCTGGACTTCCAGGGCGACAAGAACAACGGGCTGGCGCCGCTGCAGATCAACTTCCAGCTGGTGCCCAACGGCACCGAGCCAGGTGATGCCATCGAGCCGCTGGACGCGCGGGTCTGGGGCTGCAGTGAGGCGCCGGGTGAGGATGAAGAGCCCTGCTCATGCCAGGACTGCGCCGAGTCCTGCCTGCCCGTGGTGGCCCCCACGGACTCGTCACCCCCGTTCCGGCTGGGCGAGGCCGACGGCATCCTGGTGCTCTGTGTCCTGCTCTTCGCCTTCTTTGCCATGGTCTTCCTCGTGGCCCTGCTGTGCCAGCGGCGCTCCAAGGGGCTCACGGTGCTGCAGGTGGTGCCCACTGCCCGCGGGTGCTCGGCGCGGGTGGGCGATGTCAGTCACCAGGCCCTGGCACGGGCGTTCCGCTGGTGGGGGACACTGGTGGCCTCAAGGCCCTTGGTGGTGCTGGCGGTGGCCATGGTGGTGGCCGGGGGGCTCTCGGCCGGGATGGTGACCCTCCGGCTCACCACGGACCCCGTGGAGCTCTGGTCAGCACCGGGCAGCCGTGCCAGGCAGGAGAAGGCCTTCCACGACCAGCACTTTGGGCCCTTCCTGCGCACCAACCAGATCATTGTGACGGCGCCGGGCAGGGCCGGGGCTCACTACGACTCCGTGATCTTTGGGTCCAAGAACTTCAGCGGGCTCCTGGCCCAGGACGTGCTGCAGGCACTGCTGGAGCTGCAGGAGCGGCTGGCGGGCATCGAAGCCTGGGCACCGCAGGCAGGCAGGAACGTGACACTCAGGGACGTGTGTTATGCCCCCCTGAACCCCACAGAGCCCACCCTGGGCGACTGCTGTGTCAACAGCGTCACCCAGTACTTCCAGAACAACCGCTCCCACCTGGCACTCACCGCCCTGCAGGAGGAGGGCAAAGAGACGGGCACCGTGGACTGGCACGACCACCTCATCTACTGTGTCAGGTGGGTGCTGCGCCACGGGGGGCACAGGGGGTGTCCCTGGGGGGACGGCTGGGAGGGTCTCTATGGGGTACTCACTATGGCACAGTGCCCATGGGGAGCCCAGTAGTGTCTGGGGTGATGTCCATGCGACCCTGGCCATGGGGTGGTATCGGTGGTGTGGGGCTGGGGTGATACCTGTGGAGCTGGGGGGTTCTCCATGAGGTGCCCAGCATGGCACAGTGTCTATGGGGTGCCAGGCTGTGTGGTTGGGGTGCCATTTCTGAGTCCCTCAGCACTGGCAGGTGCCCACAGGGTGCCAGGCTGTGGGGTTGGGATTCTCTCTGGGTCCCCCCTCGCAGCTGGGTCCAGGTGGGCTCAGGGCAGTGATGGGTGCCCCCACTCACCCCCTGGCACCCTGTCCCCACCAGCTCCCCACTCTCCTTCAAGGACATCACAGCGCTGGAGCTGAGCTGTATGGCCGAGTATGGTGGGCCCGTGTTCCCGTACATCGCCTTCGGGGGATACCAGGGTATGGGGGCACAGACGGCAGGGGGCACAGGGACCTGGGCAGGTGGAGGGCTCTGTGGGGCAGGGGGGACCTGTGGGCACGGGGACACCTGGGGGATGGGGGACCTGTGGGCAATGGGGGTCCCTGTGGGATATGGGGACATCTTGGGGGGACAGCAGTCTGTCTCTATGGGGTGTGGGGAACCTGTGGGCAATGGGGACACCTCGGGGACAGGGGTCCTCATAGGGCATGGGGGGCACCTGTAGGGCAGGGGGCACGGGGACACCCTGGGGGGACAGGGGGCTCCATGGGGCAGGGGGGACCTGTGAGGTGTCTCTGCCATGTCCCCCGTGTCCCTCCATGTCCCCCATGCCCCTGTGTCCCCAGACTCAGAGTACACAGAGTCCGAGGCTCTGATCATCACGTACTCCCTGAACAACTTCCCCCGCGGTGACCCCCGGCTCGAGTGGGTTCTGAGCTGGGAGAGCAAGTTCCTCGAGGTGGTTCAGGATTTCCAGCGCTCTCACAGCCCCAACCTGTCGGTCACGTTCATGGCCGAGGTCAGACCCCTCCCGGTGTCCCCTGTGTCCCCTCTGCGTCCTCTCTGTGTCCCTGTGCCTCCAGTACCCCCCATACCCCCCCATGTCCCCCGTGACCCTGGTGCACCCAGTACCCCATGTCCCTGTACCCCCCCATGTCCCTGTGCCCCTGGTTTCCCCTGTGTCTTTCTTTTCCCCCACATCCCGTGTTCCCATTCTCAGGGTGGGAGGGGGGGTCCCCGGCGTACCCGGTGTCCCCTCCACTGTCCGTGCCCCTCATTCCCCCTCCCCTGTCGGTGCCCCCCCAGCGCTCCCTGGAGGACGAGATCAACCGCACGAGCGGGGAGGACCTGCCGGTGTTCGCGCTCAGTTACCTGCTCGTGTTCGCCTACATCGCGCTGGCCCTGGGCGAGTACACGGCCTGGAGCCGCGTGCTGGTGCGCCCGGGGGTCTGAGGGGGGTGTCCAGGGGGGTGGGGGGGCCCGGGGGGGCCCGGGGGGGGGGGGGGGTTCCGGGAGGTTCAGGGGGTCCCAGGGGGGTCCTGGTGGAGCCAGGGGATCCCGGGTGGTGTGCCAGTGGGTCCGGGGTGGTCCCGTGGGGTGTCCAGGGGTCCCAAGGGGGTCCTGGGGGATCCGGGGGGTCCCGGGGGGTATCCAGGGGTTCTGGGAGGTCCGAATGGGATCTGGGTGGGGTTCTAGGGAGGCTGGGGGTGCTGAGTGCAGGTGTCACAGGTGGAGTCGAAGGTGACGCTGGCATTGGGGGGCATTGCCGTGGTCCTGGGGGCCGTGTTTGCCTCCATGGGGTTCCTGGCGCTGCTGGGGATGCCCTCGTCCCTCATCATCCTTGAGGTCGTGCCCTTCCTCGTGCTCGCTGTGGGCGCTGACAACATCTTCATCTTCGTGCAGGAGTTCCAGGTCCGGGATGGGGGGCACTGAGGGCAGGAGGGGGCACAGGGGCACTTTGGGGATTTTCATGGGGAATGTGGCCCTGGGGGGGCACCTGGGGTTCCCCACGGGGCAGGGTGGGGAGGGAGGTGCCCATGGGGCACAGCAGCCTGTGGCAGCCCCAAGGCCGGGCGGTGGGTGCCCAACGGGGCTCCCTCAGGGGGTGGGGGTTACCTTTGGGGTTCTCCCCCAGGGTGGGGGTGCCCCATGGGGTCACCCCTGACCATCCCTGCCAGCAGCAGTCGCAGCGGGAGCCGGATGAGACGCGGGAGCAGCACCTGGGGCGGGTACTGGCGGAGGTGGCACCCAGCATGTTGCTGTGCAGCATCTCCGAGGCCATCTGCTTCCTCCTGGGTGAGCTGGGGGGCTCCGGGGGGGCACAGGGACACAGGGGTGGACCAGGGGCACAGGGACACGTAGGGGACACAGGAGGGCAGCGGGGGCACAGGAACATGGGGGGTATGGGGAAACAGGGGCGGCCAGGGTCACAGGGACATGGGGGTGCACAGGGTGGGCACAGGGACGCTGGGAAATGGTGGGGGGCAACAGGAGCACGGGGGGGCACAGTGACAGGGGGACATGGAGGGACATGTGGGGTGCATGGGGTACAGGGAGGGCACCATGGGGGCACGGGACCACGGCACAGGAGCTGGGCACGGTGGGCACAGGGGGACAGTGCAGTGCAGGGGGCTGGCACAGCACTCGCTGGCACGGGGGCTGCGGGGTGCAGGGTGCCCGCTGAGCCCGGGGACCCGCAGGTGCCCTCTCGTCCATGCCCGCCGTGCAAACCTTCGCCCTCACGGCCGCCGTCGCCATCGCCTTCGACTTCCTGCTCCAGATGTCGGGGTTCGTGGCACTGGTGGCACTGGATGCCTGGCGGCAGGAGGTACCACCCGGGGGGCTCTGGGGGCGTGGGGAGGGCACAGGGAGGGCACAGGGTGGGCACAGGGTGGGCAGAGGGTGCCCGGGGTGGGCAGGGGGCCGTGGGGGTCCCATGCCAACCCCCCGTGTGCCCCCAGGCTGGGAAGTTTGATCTGTGCTGCTGCTGCGGGAAGGGCACAGGGGACCCGCCCGGGGAGGGGGCTCGGCTGCTGCGGCCCCTCCTGGAGCGCTACTACACCCCCTTCCTGCTGCACCCCCTCGTTCGGCCCTGCGTGGTGAGGGGGCACCGGGGGCACCGGGGGCACGGGGGGAGAAGGGTGGCTGGGGGAAGTGGGGAGCTGGGGGGAATGGGGGGATGAGGGGAAAGGTGGGCATGGGAGGAATGGCAGGGGGGCCATGGGGGGCATTGGGGCACAAGGGGAATGGGGGTTTGGGGAGGCACTGGGGGGAATGGGGGGCACAGGGATTCTGGGGTGTCCTGGGAGGTGGGGAGGACATGGGGGGCTTGGGGGTGGGATGGGACATGGGGACTGGGGGGGACCAGGGGGCTTGGGAGGGAATTTGGGGGGGCTGTGGGGTGTCAGGGGTCCTGGAGGTCCCTGACCAGGTGCCCCCCAGGTGCTGCTGTTCCTGTTCCTGGCCTGTGCTGGGCTGTTCCTGCTGTTCCAGGTGCCTGTGGGGCTGGACCAGGAGCTTGCCCTGCCCGAGGTGGGAGTGGGACCGCTGGGGGGTGAGGGGGGCAAGGGGACAGGGGGGACACGAGGGGACAGCAGGGTCTGCATGGGGACATCTCGGGGGGATGGCCCCTATGAGGGGGCTTGGGGACACATTGAGGGGTGACATGGCCCTAGATGGTGACAGATGGAGATGGGGTGACCCTCGGGACCCCTCAGGACCCTGAGCATTTTGCAGTGGGTGACAAGGCCCTATAGGGTGACACATGGGGATGGTGGGACCCTCTGAGCCCCCCAGGCCCTGGTGGGTGCTGTGGGGTGCCCGTGCCCCCCAGGCTGACAGGGGTGCCCCCAGGACTCGTACATGCTGCAGTACTTCTCGGCGCTGAACCAGTACCTGGCCGTGGGGGTGCCCACCTACTTCGTCACCACGGGCGGGTACAACTTCTCCTCTGCCAACGGCACCAACGCCATCTGCTCCAGCGCCGGCTGCGACTCCGATTCGCTCACCCAGACCATCCAATACGCCACCGACTTCCCCAATGTGTGGGTACACAGGGGGGGCACAGGGGGGCACAGGGGAGGAGTGACCAGCTCCTGCCAGCCCTGTGTGCCCCCTCCAGGTCCTACCTGGCCATCCCGGCCACCTCCTGGGTGGATGATTTCCTGGACTGGCTGAACCCCACGAGCCGCTGCTGCCGCATCCACCAGTTTGGGGAGCACAAGGGGGAGTTCTGCCCCTCCACCAGCAGTGAGTAGGGGCTGGGGGCACGGGGTGGATGTGCCATTGTGGCCAGTGGGTGCCCACCATGGTGGTTCTTGGGTCTGCACGCAGTGGCCACTGTGGTGGCCATTGGGAGGCCCTTGGGAGCACACTGGGTGCCCCCCACTGCTGACCCCCTGTGCCCACAGATAACCTGAGCTGTGTTGCGGGGCAGTGCCTGAACACGCTCCGACGCCCCACGGCCGAGGAATTCCAGCGCTTCCTGCCCTGGTTCCTGCAGGACCGGCCCACCCTGCAGTGTGCCAAGGGGTACGTGGCACTGGGGGTCCCCTACCAAGACATGGCCATCAGTGGGTAACCCCCCCCATGCCCTGGGTGTCCCCCTGGGTGCCCCCTGACCCCCGTCCTTCCCCGCAGGGGCCTGGGCGCCTACGACACTTCGGTGAGCCTGGACGAGAACGGCACCATCCTGGGTGAGTGCAGGGCTGGCGTGGGCTGGGGGGTGCCCGGTGGGCCCCCGGGGGTGCCCCTGACCCCCCCGCTCTGTGCCAGCCACCCGGTTCATGGCGTACCAGCGCCCGCTGCGCACCTCGCAGGAGTACACGGCGGCTCTGCGGGCAGCCCGTGCCCTGGGGGACACCCTGACCCGCACCCTGCGCAGGGTGCCCGGCACAGACCCCCACTTCAGCGTGTTCCCCTACACGTGAGTGCCCACCTGGGACCGGGCGGGGCATGGGAGGCGCAGGATGGGGAGGGGGGAGAGGGGTGTGGTGCTGGGGGGGGCACTGCTGGCTGGTGTGGGGTCAGCAATGGGTGCCCAGTTCAGGAGTCCCCCGTTAAGGGTGCCCAGGCCAGGGTGCAGAGCACAAGGTGCTGGGGGTGCCCCAGCGCCCTTCTTGGGAGTCACAAGTGGGTGCCCCAGTGAGGAGATAGTGGGGGTCCCAACTTAAGGGGTGCCCAGTTAAAGGGTGCCCATTGTGGGGTGCTGTGGGTGCCCCAGCACCCGAACTGGGGATCACAAGTGTGTGTCCAGTTAAGGGGTTCCCAGTTAAGGGGTGCTCCAGTTAGGGGATGACCAGTTATGGGGTGCCCAGGTCAGGGACAACGTGGGCACCTCAGTGCCTCACTGGGGTTAACAGGGGTGCCCAGTTCAGGGCTGGGGTTGCTGTGGGAACCCCTGTTGGGGTCCCAGTGCCCATGTCGGGGTGTGGGTGCCTGTGTTCAGGTACCCAGTGCCCATTTTAGGGTACCTGGTGCCCATTTCGGGTGCCTGGTGCCCTGTCACAGTGTCACATCATGGTGCCACCCCTGCAGGGTGACGTACGTGTACTACGAGCAGTACCTGACAGTGGTGGTCGAGGGGCTGGTGACACTGGCAATGTGCCTGGTGCCCACCTTCGCCGTGTCCTTCCTGCTGCTGGGCATGGACCTGCGCTCCAGCTGTGCCACCCTGGTCACCATTGCCATGATCCTGCTGGACACCGTGGGGGCCATGGCCCTCTGGGACGTGCCCTACAACGCCGTCGCCCTCATCAACCTCGTCGCGGTGCGGGCACGGGGGGCATGGGGGCCACTGGGGACACAGGGACATAGGGCATGAGGGGTGGCACAAGGACATGGGGGGAATGGGGACATGGGACACACGGGGGGGGCACAGGGACACTGGCAGTGTGGGGTGGCTTGGGGACCTGGCGCACACGGAGTGGCACAGGGGGCAAGGGGCATGGGGAGAATGGGCACAGGGATTTGGGATGCAAGGGTGGCTTTGGGGGCACAGGGGGTGGCAGCAGGACCTGGGACATGTGGGGTGCCACAGGGACATGGGGCAGGCGGGTGGCACAGGGACTTGGGGGCACAGGGGGTGGCAGCAGAGGGGGTGACACACGGTGTCCCCGCAGGCTGTGGGCATCTCAGTGGAGTTCGTGTCCCACATCACCTGCGCCTTCGCCCGCAGTGCCCAGCCCACCAGGGTGGAACGAGCCGCCGAGGCCACCATCACCATGGGCAGCAAGGTGGGCACAGGTGACACCGTGGGCCCCCCAGTCCTGCCTGGGGGTGACACTGTGGGACCACCAACCCTGCTGGGATTGGGGGGATGCCATGGCACCCCAAATCCTCCTGGGGGGCCAAAGGTGACACCATGGACCCCCACCCCTCCCCTGCTGTGCCTGGGGGGCTCGGGGTGGCCTGGCCACCCTGTCCCTGATGGCATCCCTGCTGTGGCCACAGGTGGTGACCGGGGTGGCCATGACCAGCCTGCCCGGGGTGGTGGTCCTGGCCTTCGCCAAGGCCCAGCTCATCCAGATCTTCTTCTTCCGCCTCAACTTCATCATCACCCTCGTGGGGTTGGCACATGGCCTGGTCTTCCTGCCCGTGCTCCTCAGCTACATCGGTAAGGATCCCCTGGGACAGTGCCCTGGCCCTGTGTACCACCCCCGGGGCACAGGGACAGCCTGGCACCATCCCTGTTGTCCCCACAGGGCCCAGCCCGCGGGTGCCAGCAGGGGACACGCCGGGGGACACACAGGGTGCAGGGCTGGGCTCTGGCACCACCTACTTCAAGGACAAGGACATGGACAAGCCCGGGAAGAGCTGAGCCCCCCTGGCCCCTCTCACTCCCCTCTTGCTCCCATTGCTGCTGCTGTTCTATTTAAACTGGTTTTCTCAGAGTCTGGACTGGTTTAACTGGGGTGGGTGGGGGTGTGTCTTGGCTCTGAAGTGTCGCACAGGGATGGAGACACAGGGATGGGGACACAAGGACAGGATGTGTGTGGCACAGGGGCACTGTGGGGACAGGGACATGGACAGTGTGGAGACAGGGATGTGTGAGGCACATGGGCAGTGTGGGGACAGGGACATGGGGGGCACAGGAATGTGTAAGGCAGAGGGACACATGGACATCATGGGGACAGGGACATGGGGGACA